TACAGATCTGAGTTCACTGGAGCAGAGGCTTCTGACTCTTGGCTCCATGTCCTCTTTCTTGATGCTTTAGGGCGCTTAGGTGTAGTGGCATGGCGCTCATCAAGATTAGATGCTCTCAATCTGGATTGTGCTGTAGTTCTGACTCTTCCTCTTGAAACATCGTGACTACACGTGTGGGTGGGTGCACCATATAGGTTATTAAAAACACACCCATTTACTATCATGGCTGTTGATGTTTAAACAGGTCAAAGAAGGTGCTAAACAAACTGTGAAAGACTTCTACGCGCACATATCACTAGCAGCATAGGGCAGTTAGACACTCTCCCCTCCTCCTTATCCACTCTTGCTTGTACTTAATTACTTTTACAAATTGACAAAAGTGCTTTTAAGCACAGCAAAAATTACACATGAATAGTCAATAGTGTACATGTACCATGTAGATGTACATGTAGATGTACATGTAGATGCACCATGTAGATGTACATGTACAATGTAGTGGTACAGTAGTATACAAGTTTAGTAGCACATTGTGTGATTGCATGTTAGCTTGAAGAACAGTAATGGCATCACCATTAGTGGTATCACTCCAAAGCTCTCTGCTGTTTTTATTTATTATGAACAATTCACAGAGTTAGTGTTTATTTGATGCGATAGTAAATTGAATGACTAAGTGCATGTAAAGTGAACAACTATAATTGTAATTTACTTTATTTATTTTTACACTTATAGAATATCTAGTACTTACTAATGTAATTAAGCACTCTGGAGAATGCTTGTTCTTGTACTTAAGCACTTATGTTAAAGCTAGGAATTGTGCTTGTGCTGGTACTTCTAACACATTTAAGTGCTTGTGTTTGTGTTTAAGTACATTTCATAGTGCTTGACCCCATATCTGACACGTATAACATAACTTTTCTTTATTCAACTTAAGTTAACCTAGCCTGGCTTCATTGCATGTAATGCCACTTCTGTCAAGTTCCTTCATTCCATTACTGTCACATTTTTATTCTTAACGTGATTTGTAATTAGATTATAACTTAATTGTAGCAAAAATGTTTCACCATCACACTTGTTCATGATAATACAATTAATTTTTTAATTTTCTTTTTGTCTTCTTTTAGGCCTCCTGTAATGAATACACCATTTCAAACTCCTCTCATCAAATTATATTTCTGTTAAATATAGATTTAATTTTGTTTTTACCAAATATTGTTTATCTTACTTA